CACCTCAGTTCTTCATGGCTACAGTGTTTTATGTGTCCCCAAAGTGCTGTAGGGTCAAGGCATAGTTAAAAGTGATGATTTCCCTCCTGGGAACTGTAAAATAAATAAATATATGGGCAGAGGAACTTACAAAATCTAATTTCCTGTGACTCACTTGCTAGCTGTCACTCTTGTGCATGCTCTTTGCGTGGGTTCTCCAGTGCCTAATAATGTGATTGATCATGTAAAATTCCAGACATTGCTCTCTTGAGTAGTATAAAGCAGCACTGATCACTGAAGCAAGCCCTTCATGCTCCCTGTTCTTAGTGAACCTTGTGAGAAGCAGCCAAAAAAAGATTGTCTCATAACTGTCTCGTTTCTACAGGGCATGGCATATGGCATACCTGGAGCAAATGGAAGTAGACTGCTACCAGGAGAAAGGCAGCCCAGCAGGGATGCTGTAAAAAAGGCAATGGAAATATTAGCGCAATGGGTCCTAGGCCCTGCACACTGTGAATACAGTAGTGTTTGATTCCTGCGTGTTGCTGGTTCTTAATTCCTGGACGTGACCAAAGGAATTAGAAAACACGTGGAGTTTCTTAATTGAAAAAAAAAAAAGAAATAAAGAAGGTGTTTTCAAGAGCTGCAGAACTAATGACATCTATTGATGTCTTGGGAGTAAGATCCCATGTGCATGATGTCCTATAAGGGGTGAGCTGACCATGTGTTGTTCTGCTCAGTGGGGTATTGATAGCTTATATTTAATCTAGGAAAAAAGAAAAAAAAAGCCAGGGACTGTTCTTCAGTCTTGAGATCACACCTAAGCTCTACAATCTGCCAGATCAGTCTGGTTCCCACTCCACGCATCTCTCCTACCTGTGTCCAACGCTGGGGCAGCACTATCCAGCCGATGGCAAAAACACGCCATGGGCCATGCTTATACTTGAACAGTACGCAGTATTATTGTGTACCAAAGCTCAGACACGTGGCCTGGCTTTCTCATTTATTTAATGTAAGTGTAACTACAGGACCATTTTCCTCTGCGCAGTCACGGAAACTTGCAGAAAATTTAGGGCTATTCTAGAAGAAAACTCAAGTGGGTTTTCTTTGGGAGAGACAGGATCCTTTATTACACAACTTATTGTAGCTGGAAGAGGTAGCAACAATTTGGGGCACTCATCCCTCCATCAGATCTAAAACTGAAGCAGCAAACTTAGGCCAAGTGAAAGTTGGGAAAAAAATTGCACTATGTTTAAGTTCATTTTGTTAACTCCAGAGAAAAGTGGCATTTCCAACAAAGCCTTAGTAATACCAAACCTCATCAACAGCTTTCACTATACTTTGTCTCCTCTTTACCATTTTATCTCTTGCTAAGAATAAATTCAGACCAATTTTTTTAACAGACAGATTCACAACAGCTTGTGCATCGGGACATGTTTGGCAGTACATGTCTGACAGGATTTTTTCCACCTCCTAGAAAACTCCTGCTAAATATTCATGCATTTCCCATTGAAAGAAACCTGATTCTTGGCCAAACCAAAGCTTGTTAGCAGACAGAACAGGAGGGTTTTTTCCTCCCTGCTGCACCTCTGATTCCTGCAGGTTTTGCTTCACACCTGGTCTCTGCAAACAGATACTCTCAAACCCAAGCTACTCCACTCTGGAAATGGGTTATAACCTGAGATATTGACAAGTCATTGCATTTTTTTGAAAGTTTGTCTTTTAACTTTTCTGTAGAATTTATAGATTGTGGGAGTTTCTTACAGTGTTCAGCACCATCTGTCTATCAGAGATGGCTGAAAAATATATGTGTTTAAAAAAGTTCAAAACAAAACATGAATTAATCTTTTAACATGTTTTGTTCTTTTGAAAGAGATCTCACAATTATATTTGCTATTAATGAAAAACACATTTGGGTTTTTTCCAAGAACCAAAAGTTGTTGGAAATACAAAGAAATAATTTTGAGATTAAAATGAGCAGAAGAAATGTTATTGAAGAATTTAACTTGTTTAGGAACGTTTTCATTAAGAACTATTTTGTAGTCTTGTTTACTGCTGAAATATTTTTTGACACAGTCATAAACATGGTGGGGACACAGAGTAATGGGAAGGGCTCTAATTTTTCTGGGTACTTAGTACCAGCTGCTGCTGAGTTATTTGTGCCTGGGGTCAGGGCAGATGTGTGGGGAACAGAGATGGGAATGAGCTTCCGTGGGGGTGGGAGATGTCATTAGGAAGCAGACTGTCAGCACCTGCTTCAGAAAGGATGACAGGAGAATTCGTGTTGGAAGGGGCCTCAGAGGTCTCTAGCCCAACCTCCTGCTCAAAGCAGGGGCAGACCAGGCATCTCAGGACTTTATCTAGAATAGTCTTCTGAAATCCTCCCAGGATAGAGGCTGCACTGTCTCTCCTGGCAACCTGCTTCAATGCCTGACTGTCCACATGGGGAATGTCCCTATTTACACCCAGTCTGAACCTCTTCCCTTTCAACTTAAACCTGGAGTCTTTCATCTTGCTGCCAGGCAGCACTGTGAAGAGCCTGGCTCCATCTTCTTGTTGACCTCCCTATAGGCATTGGAGGTGACCTTGTGTCCTCCCCTTGAAGACAACCCTTCTCCAGCTGAGCGAGCCCAGCTCTCACAGCCCCTCCACTCCAGCCCAAACCGTCATGCTGGCCCTACACTGAACTTGCTCCAGTTTCTTGCGCTGGGGGACCCAAAACTGGGCGCAGTATCCAAACATAGGGTAGCGGTAAGTACCTAAGTACTTAGTTAGTAGTACTAAGTAATTGACCTGTGACAAGCCTGTCATGGTCTGAGAGATATGTGAGATGCCACTTTGCCCCCTGCTCACTTTGTCCCTCTACCAGTGGCTCCTGCCACTACACTCGGTGATAGAAAATACATATATGCAATATATGCACTTCAGCTGCGCTAGGGCCAAGTGGGTCTGATCTAGTTGAAGATGTCCCTGCTCACTGCAGGGTGATTGGACTAGATGGCCTTTAAAGGTCCCTTCCAACCCAAACCATTCTATGGTTCTATGATTCTACATTCTATGATTCTGTGATTCCATGAAACAGCAGTAAGGAGGAGCAGCAGAGGCCACGTACACGTTCTCCTCTGCTTCCCTAGCTATGGAGGGTAGTAACTTCCAGTGGACAGGAGGCCTAGAAAATATCAGCTCTCATGTAAAGTACTTTGGCCATAAACTTCAAAGCAATTCCCAAAAGGAGGCTGGATTGCTATTCCTGTTTTACAAATCACGAAGCTGAGGAAAAAGGGAAGGAAATGTTTTGACCGAATTCATCTAGCAGCTGCTGGCAGAGGCAGGCAGAGACCCCGAGCATTACCCACATATTGTGCCATCAGGGTACCAGGGACCAGCGCCCGGGGGACCTGCGGTTCCCAATCCCTGTTCCAAGGACCTGTCCCTGCCTCTTCCAGCTGCTCTGCTACGCGATGCCGAATTCCTAGCTGGAAATCAGGCTGGTGGCCGGGTAACAACAGCCTTCAAACCATGCAGATTTATGGCCTCAGAGCAGAAGTGCTGATCAGAAATACCATGAATTAGTCATAATCTTATCAAAAATATTTTATTTATGAAAGTAACAATTATACTATACAACCTATATTGGAAGTACATTGAATAATTGCTAGAATAAATACAGGCAATTAATTCAATCTTTTTATAGAATGAGAGGATTTATTTGACATTTGAATGTTAACCCAAGCTTTAACTTACATCATAAATAGTTAAAAGGCATAGTCAAGTTTTTTTTTTTAATTTTTAGTTTCTTTTGCTTTTTTTTAATACTGTTCTATTTTGTAATCAACATGAATCAACCCTCCAATCATTAACATAATATTAGTATGACTTTCAAGCAATCATGTACCTCAAGATAATCAGACAAATAAGGTAGTGTGTGTGCAGTTCATTCTACAGCAGAATCTATTCATGTCTGCATAAAAAAAGAGAAGCTGAAAATGCTTCTAGGTTCTTTAAGCATCATATGCTGATTTCTGCTTTACCACAGTGCTTTTAATACCAGAATCTAAAAAGGGCATGTATCTGTACGCAGCTGGCTTTCTGTTGCTCTTTATATTAGGGCTCAGTGCCACATTCCTTTGGCTGGTGAAGGACTGCAGAATTTAGTCCTGAATATTATTTCTCAACAACATGGTCCAAAATAAATGTCCAAGACTGATTATTAGGCATCAAGGAAGTAATGGATTTGCTAAGACTTGATGTTTTCTGATAAAAAATTGGATTCTGGTGGATATGCTTTAGTCAAACACAAATTATTGGGCTCAGTACTGGGGTATGTACTACACTGGATGTCAGAGCTGATCTTGTATTTTCTGTAAACTCTGTGAAGAGCACTGCAGAAGATTTATAGTAAGACACCCACATTTGAAAGTGTTGATAAGTTTTCATTCCATGTATTTTTTTAAACTCAAAAATCTGAACTATCATCTGCTTGGTACTAGCAGATTATGAACAATGACCACCAGTGAAGTCAATAGTAGTTTTGGGTGTCCAATATCGCTCCAGATCAGAAGTTTTGACTCCTCAGGTCCCATGAAAAATCAGTGGGAGCTTTCCTATAGCAATGTCTCTTCCAATGGCATTGAGGCCTGCCTTGCCTTATGGCTATTGTGCATGACAGGGATATTATGCTCTCAGCAGAGAAGCAAATTTCCCTTTTACAATGTGATCCAAAACAAAACCCCAAATTGCACATATCTACCCCTTTGGCCTTTTTTACGCACAAATATGCTTGTATTCAAAAAATGACAATGTTGGGCCTTTCCTAATAAATGTCTTCAAAGAGCACATTTAAAATGCTTTCTCACAGAAATAACCATTCATCAGCTGCAAAAATGCAGAGAGACTTTTTATTCTTTCTGTTGTGAACAATATCAATTCAGCACAAATTTTGGGGGAGGAAGTATTTTTTTTTCCCAAATGTATTTAAAAAGGCTGAAGAACAACATGTTGGGGAGGCAGCTTTTTTTGGCAGATAGTAAAATATAAAATATGTGATTTAAAAAAAAGTTGGCTTAAAATACACACACAAATAATACAATAATATAAAAATACAGCTCAGCCAATGGCCTTTTAAAATTTACCTTTGGCATTACATTTGGCAGCCTAACACAAAAGACCCTTCCTATAAACAGAACTATAAAAAAGAGAAGTTCATAAATTAGGTTGCAAGGGGTTGTAAGATCCTTTTCTTGATTCTCCAAACTCCTTTCCTTCCTGTCCACACACATAAGCATGACCAGTGAGGTATATAGAATGTAACACTGTCAGGCGTATGCACAATAAAAAAGTGCATAAACATAGAAGTTCTCCCATTTTCTTGCGAACAGGTCGAAACTGTGTGGTTTGCGTTTCCTCCCCCTTGGAAATAAAAAAAAATCATTTGTTATTGTTTTTTTTTTTTCTTACTTTGGCAGGACGAAAATGAACCCAGAGGAATATAAATGTCCTATTCCCAGCAGCAAAGATCCATTTCCCTTGGCAACATTCGTCTGATGCCACAGATACTACAAGGTTGTTGGGTTGCTTTACAACTCTCTGGGTATCTTCCCACAGGAACATCATACATCTAGCACCATGTCATAGTGTTGCTCTTTCTTCCGCCTGCCACATTTGGTGATAAGAACCAAGTACAAAGTCAAAAGCATAACCCAGTAACATGCATAGAGTATTGTGCCAATGATGAGAACTGTCTGTTTTGACTCAGAAAATGGCTTTTTTGATTCCTTGTAGATAGTGAAAATTACGCCACCTAGGAGGATTGTAAACCAAATGGAGACTGGAATGAGTCCTATAAAATTAACTACAATGGTTTTTCTTCCTGACGTGCCCCACCCTGCTTTGTTTATCGTGGCAATTGCAAACATCTTTGCTGGCAGCAAACTTGACATGTACAACACTGAGTAGAGTGACATGAAAACCATGACAATGTTGCCCCTAAGGAAGCTGGCAAAGGAAGACTTTATCAGGCCCACTAACTGAACTGTCAACAAGAAGAGGAGGATGTTCCAGATTTTTCCCCTGTAGAAGAGCTGAATGACTGTGGCGATAAGGAAGAAAGGAAAGAATCCAGTGATTACAGCTTCATAGGTCATCCACAAATGGTGCTTGTGGAACCACATCGCATTATAAAGCCACTCTCTAAAGTACGATTTACTCCAGCGGGTCTGCTGATTCAGCCACCTGAGATACTCTATTGGTGTTTCGGTAAGGCACTTGGACCTAGCTGTGTATTTTGTTGCATAGCCCAGACTTAGCACTCTGTTAGTTAGATGCCTGTCATCTCCGAAGCTGCACTGGGAGCCCATAAATTCTTGATTGTACCAATCTTCTACAAATTCATGGAGTAAAGAGTTTCTGTACATTCCCAGAGGTCCACTGATGCACTGTACACAGCCGAAATAGGACTGACAGGCTCTTTCTATGTTAAATGCCATCCAGTATCTCACGCTGCTCAGAAAGGATATCCAGGAGTCGTATTTGTTCAAAATCTGCAAAACACAAAAAGTTTTCATTTTAGATGAGCTCTTGAGGAAGAAAATACGTACATTGGACCAATAAGGAATTTGCAGAGACTAGAGCACCATTAGCCGAAACATAGGGGGAACCCCGCTCCTATGTCCAACACAGGACAAATCCAGGAGTTACCTGTACAGTCCAGGACATTCACAGGAAGGGTGAGATGAGCCTTCAAGAGTCTGTTGCACCAAAATATTCTCTTTTTCCTCACAACCTTTCCTCTTCCCCACCAAGAAACTTATTTTCTGGCTCATTCTTCCTTTCCTTTCAGCCCCAGTTAAGGGACTGCTGGTCTCAGCCTCTCCCAAAAGACATGGTGGAGTCCCAGATGTGGCCTCCTGCTTCTTTCTGCCCCCAACCACATCTTTGGGATGCAGAGGACTTCTTCTGGCCCTTCTAAGGCTATTCCAGGTCTTTGGCCTACATCTTTGGTATCACAGGGCTTGCACTAGAGGTTTTGACCCTGGACTATGTCCCCGTATCTGACATCAGGCCCTCTGAAGAACAACCTGTTCTGATTTGTCCCTGCAGTACCAGCCATGTTATGTTACCCCAAGACATACTGTGATACTCCAGTAGAGTCATGATTTGGCCTGCATAAAGGTCTCAGTCTTTCTCTTCTTATGCCCCAAAGCTCACCTGAAGCTCAAGTCTACACTTAAAATACAACAAAGGCATAGTCTAAAGGTCTGAACACTCAATGGAGGCATGAGCACATGCAGATACCCAAGTCCATGGCTCCACATCCATGTTCTCAGCACACACCTTGTGCTGGTGAGTGTGGCAAGAAAGTGTGTAGCAGGGTGGCTGTGCCCGCTCTGCACCGGTATCTTCTCAATGTGGGGATTTTCAGGGGAACCTGTGGCTGCCTACGACTAGAAAGCAGTATTCTGCTTTCTTCTAGTTTTGCTCCAATGGTCCTAATTTCTGTCAGGTTTGAAGGCCAAGGGCCCAACTTGTATCTGTTTCAACTTAATTCCCGAACATTTTAAAAGCAGCAGTGTTCAGGGATAGGCTCAAGCCTAGATCAAATGTATTTGCTGTATGCTGGAAAGTGAACTAGGAAAAAAAAGCCCAGAGCCTTCATTCTGCCACCTTTCTTCACAGAGGGCACATGTCCTTCTCTCTCTCTGCAGATACTTATGAACCTTCACAGCTGAGCCCATAATGTCTCCTTCCAGTTGTACTCACACGTGCCTGGTGTCTCACATGTGCAGAGTAAGTGTGATGCCTGGTTTGTGGTCAGCCCAGAGCCACAAGCATATCCAGGCTTCTGTGGGAATCTTAACTTCTGGAGTTAAGAGCCACATGCCTGAAATATTTTTGACTACTGGGGCGTTGGTTAGTAAGTGCTTGCCCATATACATGGCCCTTTCTCCGTCTCTCACATAAAAGCCCAGCTGAGTACAGGGAACTGATCCCAAGGCCAACTGAAATATTCATATGCATTTTTCTTTATAAATTGCAGCAGAAGCGATTGTATCAAAAGGAATGAACGGCCTTTTGCTGTAGTTGTCAGCCAAACTCGGCAATGCTGGAAATCCTGACAAAAGTGGAGCTGGGCTGACTTGGGGGCTTTCCATTGTCCTGCCTGACAGAGATGCAGAGGAAACCCAACAATACACAGACTGCATAGTGCACTGCATTTCAAAAAGGCTTTCATTCCTAACAATCTTGGCTGCCAGTAGTAACATAATTGAAGTGCTTGGGGTGTTGGATTTGGCTTAGGGAGACCTGTTCTCAATCCCTGCTGCCCTACAGCTTTTCTTTGGTGCCCTGAGCAAGCAGTTATACCCAGAGAGTCAGAGGCTACAACAGTCTTGCCAGTGCACACTTTTCACATATGTGGGGGAGGATATTTGTTTGCTTTTTATGGATGCTAAAACCGTACAGTGTTCATACCTCAGAATAAGGGTTTCTGTTCAACAGACAGAAAGGTTAGAGGTCTCCTAAGAGCCTCTATAGTAGTATCACAGTATATTCAAAGCTATTCCAGTCAGGGGAATCTGTTGCAGTGCCAAGAGTTGCTGAAACCCCTCTGTTAATCTGAAAATCGTTGTACTCACCTGCACATCACCTCCAACCCCTCCAACCATTGGATCTTCTTCTAAAACTTTTACCATCTCCACTGATGAGGCTGGATCAAGCATGGTATCTGAATCACAGACCTACAAGTAAGACAAAACAAGAACAAAAATGGGTTAAGGAGTACACTAGAGAAGAAAATAACAATCATGCAAGTGATTGTAGTAACTCTATACACATATTCTCCTGATTGCAATTAAATCTCACTTTGGAGCCTGCACTGATACTTCTGCTAAAGGCCATTTGTATCAGGCCGCAAGGAGTGGTGCTGTTAGTGCTGTGACCACAAACAATCCTCTCTCCTGTATCAGCTTTATTTGTTTTACTGGCACACTGGGCTGGCTTCGTTGCACGAGATATGCTCTCAGAGATGGGGCACTGCAGAGCCAGACGATGTTTGTGGGTGTGTGGCAGATCCCTGCTGAGCCCTGACATAGGGTTTCCCTGCATCGGCTGCACGGTTGGAGCACCCTGGCCAAATGTTTCCCACTGCCGTATGAGGGAAGGAGCGAGGAGTTAAGTTCCAGACACTTGTTATAGAAAAGAAAAAGTCAGCTAGGAGCCTGGGGAGAAACCTAACAGTCCTTTCACTCACAGAAGGCTTTAGCAATTCATGTAAGATATATATTTTGGATTCCTGAACAAGCTAATTTTTAATTTTACATGCATGGTGTGTTATTAGTAGCGCAGGGATTTGACATCTGATATATCAAAATTATCTGCTATTTTCCTCTGGCATTCTTATAAAAAATATGTAAGGCCAGAAGGAGAGTCCCAAAGTGCGGTACTCCACGAGACCAGGGCAGAAATAGATGACACACACAAGGCGTTTCAGCCACACAAACACTCCTAGTCAACTAAACACTGTGTACATTAGGAATTGGTTTTCCCCCGGAGAGTAGGAGGAAGGCTCAGACAGGCTGGCCGGTCTGCGCGGCAGCTGGCATTGCTTTCGTTCGCTCGGAGGCGAATGACACAGGCTGCAACCTGTTTAAAACAAGCGGGTGTCTCCTTGCTGCAGCTGCTCCTGAAAGCAGTGCCCCCATCGTGTGTAAACTCAATTTGCAGGTGCCCAGAAACTGGAGCAGAGGGGGCTGTCCCAGGAACACCCCTTTGTCTGGCTGGATCCTGCCCTACAAACTCTCATACTGCTTCCAGTTTATCCCTACGTTGCATTCTTGTGATTTCAGATGGGGACAGTAAGGGCAAAAGTTGGCAGCTCCACCTGAATGATCTATTAAGTCAGATTCTGGTGAGGCTTCATATCAGGTATCCCAATTTTGGTGTCCTTTCATCCAACCTTTCAATTCAGCCTCAGCCCCTTTGCTCCAAGGTAGCGGAAACCTTCATGTCTGGTGTGTGAAGGGGGAGTAGAGCATTTTGGGGCTCTGCCATGGACCAGACTGAAGCAAGGAGGTTACCCGGGACAGTTGGGCTGCATAGCTTGGGATGCAGCTGAGTTTGCCAACATGCTCCCCTACACACTCACTTGGAGGGGGCTGAGAGGAGAAAGCTGATGAAAGCTCTCATACTTCCATGAGGAAAATACAGCCAGAAGCAACTCCCGCTCCTGCTACCTTGATGCATCCAGCTCCTCTCCTCAAAAGACTCATCCTGAGGAGCACCTTTGCAACCTGGCCAAGGTGTGCCTCCAGCTTTGGTCGAAAGCTGTCATCAGTGAGACCACTTGGTGATAGAAAGGGAGCAAAACAATTCTGCTGAAGAGGGGAAAGGATGTCTACATTTCTGTCTGAGGCTTCCTGGACAGACCTGTTGCTGAGTGTTTTTTGCACAGGGAATCTGTAGTTTGCCGAGTATGCAAGGCTCGGGCAGTCATACTCAACCCATTTCTTGCGAACGTGAGTGGTGGGCTGGGATCAGCACCTTCCCCAGCCCCTCTTTTTTCTCTCTGGTGCCTGTCAGTTGGTACAACTGAGCAGCCCCCACCCCATCATATGCATTTATCTGTAACAGAAAGACCTGCCCATGGGCAACACCACTAATATGGGATGAGGAATCCTAAAAACACTGGATTTATTTACAGATTACCACCATGTGTCCTGGGCATGTCAGCACAGTGGACATGTCTGGGTTTCTGGGGCAAACGTGACAAGCCATCATTTTGCATCTGGATGAGGTTTTTGCAGGTGAAAAGAGGACACACCCGGAGAAAGGCAGACATTTAGGAACCCAAATAAAATACACCAAGGTCTGCCCAGCCAGGGGTGGCCCTGCACAGCCCAAGAGCCAATTTGTCATCTCTTCACATAAGGGCTGAGTGACCTAGAAATTACTGCCTTGGGTCACAGAGTTGTATGAAAGGGACAGTCAACCTTAAGCGAGCTGTTCAGATAGTCGTTAGAACCGGTGGTGGTTCATCTGAGCTGCTCTGAGAAGTTCAGGCTGTGCTGGACTGTCAATGCAGGTACCTCCAACAAGTCAAGATGAATTGCACCCGGGCTGCCCTGACGAGCTCTGCACTGATGATACCTGCCAGTTTAACCCCTCTACCTGACTGCTTGCACCCTCCTAACGTCCTCCAGGATGGGAATAAGCATTCACGGCAGTTCCAGGTATTTAATGAGACACCACTGATGAACAACAGCTCATTGTCTGCATTGGTCTGACTGCTTATGATTGCCTGCCCATAAATAACCCTGAGGTGTCTTTTAAGAACTAGAAGGCTCACAGTTTCAGGGGTGAGCAATGGTGCTGACTGGTCCACATTTTTAAGTGCTTGATCACTGGTGCAGATTGCTCAGCCCTTAAAATGGCAGGTGTGTTCAAAGTAATTTATTTTGCTTATCCCCAAAGAACCGTTTGGAAAATCTCAACCTTCATTCATTCATAAAATGGAGCCACATTTTAGCTGCAGTGCATAATGACTGTGTAGTAGCCAGGGTCACCAAGCTGCTGCATTTCTAATATAGATGTGACTGTAGATGTGACTGTGGCATCAGTCATTACTGCAGCCTTTGGTGGCAGCTTACAGCAGCATTACAGTCCCTGACACATTCATCAGGACTTCCGAGCCAGGTCAAGAGTGTTAATTGACTGAAAGGCCAGAAATATCTCTTCCATTTTCTCAGCTTATGCTATGATTGTTGAATAGAAACACTTTTTCCAGGTTCCCTGAACAAATGCAAGAGCTGGATTGAGGGAGGAAAGTTGCGATGCCTCTTGTTTTCTCTCTGCTTTCTCTCACTGCAATCTGATACTTCTGTGTGAAGTGATTATAAAACCATGCTAATAAAGAAAAGCAGCATTTTCATCCCACCATCGTCCCTCATAGCACAGAACCAAAGTGCAGACAATGGAGAGCTTAAGCCCATTGTTTCCAGAGAATAAATCAGTTTCAATTTTGGAAGTGCTAGGGGATGGGGTTTTAATCTTTGCCTCACACTCCCAGCTCCAATAACAGAGCGGTGCCCAGCACTCTGCAGTTTCGGCTCCTCCTGTGTGGGGAGGACTCGCTGCTCTCCCCCCAGCTACCCGCAGCCTCCCCGCGGCCCTTGGACGCTGCTCCCGCGGACGCTGCGCCGCGCGGAGCACGCACAGGCACACCAGCACGAGGCTGGGCGCGGACCCCAGCAACGCACAGCGGCCCTGAGCCGGCAGGGAGCACCTCGCCCGGAGCTGCTGCTCCACCGGAGGAGACCGCTGGGTGCTCTCAGACTGGGAGAAGGTGGGAAGGGTTAAGGGCAGTTAATTAGGAAAATCATCTCATATTCAGTGGGATTAGTCAAATGAGCCTTGGGGGCCTTGGTTGATAAGGAACGATCCTCAGTGTCCAGCCAGAGACCCTGATCCCACCCGGCGTCCTCCACGCACAACCTCTTCCTCTTCCTGCAGTCAGCAGGGTTGTTTGCAGGAATGAGGAGTGCTTCCATGTGCAAGGCAAAAACATAGAAAATCTTTCACGGGATCCAAGGCAGCTGGAAAGAAATGTGTCTCTGCTGCTTTGGAAACAGGGAGAGAGGACCCAGCCTAATTCATTTTTAAGTGAATAGTGTCATAAGGGCTTTAAAGGCCAAGTCGCGGTGAGTGAGGTAATGCAGCTGTAAGTGATGAAGCAAAAGCTCCTTCAGGCTTTAGCTGAAGAAATCTTTCTTTCAAGGCTGCACATTGACCCTTTTTTGAATGCTCCGCACAGCCTTCGAAGCCTTTAAAATACCCCCATATATTTACGGACTCCACCACCGCTCTGAGGGATTCCCTAGTGCCACTAAATACCTGTCTGCCTGCTTGCATATGGGGTTGCTAACAATCCCACAAAATAAAACCTTACCGAGATTTTGATCTACAGAAGCAGCAAAAGGGTCTTCAGGAGGTCACTGGCTTTGTCTGAAGCAAAACCGTTTGGATGAGGGAGCAGTACTGAAGTCTGAGGAAGGATTTCAGATTTCTCCAGTAGCTGGTGCACAGATTTAACATATTCACAGATAGGCTGACTATTTTAAAAGGTAGCAAAATACGCTTTTAACGGTCAAGCTGTTTCCAAACAGGCTGAAAGGAGCACTGTGTTCATCAGGGACTAGGATGGCCTCTAACATGCTGCACAAAATATACAAAAGCTGCTTTCTTTCAAAGTGTGTTTGAATTGGCACTGACCTGGTGCTCTAATACCTACCTGTACATAATCCACGCTTCTCCCCAGTGCTTTGAATGCTGTGTACATTACTTCTCTTTTTCCACCCCATTTCTGCATGATGCAAACACTTTTGTTGGACAGGACCAGCTGAGATACGTGTTGCATGCTTTCTCTGTGAGACTCCTCCGTCTCACCCGGACCTTTGTCATGGAAGTTATTACTCCAGATATAAGTGGCAGATTTGTCCCTACCCATGATTTCAGTAAAAATGTCCATCATGTAAACGTCATCTTCCGAGTTCCCGTCAATGACCATAACAACTTTAATTCCAGGGTAGGTCAATCTTTTCACAGAAAGTAAACATTTTCTTAAGTAGTCAGGATCCTCTTGATAGGCAGCAATACAAAGGGCAACTGTTTTGTTCAGCTTGATTGGAGTCTCTAGCGACCGCTTCATTTTCCTGTGCTCTAGGAAGGCAAACAGGCTTTGGATGATGAGATGTGATGCCAGGATAGCACCATAGAGTCCAAAGGAGAAGTAGTAATTGTCTGTTTGAATGAACTGGTAGCCCACAATGTAAGCAGCGGTGATTCCCAGCAGGAGGGACACCCCGAAGAGTGTGGTTCCAAGTATTCTCAGGATACATATAAACCTCTCACAATACATCTGCAAAGAAGCACGGAAACTGTTAGCAGAGCCACCACTTGCTGATATAAGACCTCATAAGAGGTGTGTCTGGCTACAACATAGAGCTCAGCATCAACAGATACACCCTGTGCTTCTGGCTGTGTCGCTGACTTGCTGCACATCCTTGCTCGACTTAACATGTCTTTGCAGTACTTCTTCCATGTAAAGTAAGATTTAAACACACCTTAATGTACCAAGGATGTTTTTTACTATTTGTAATGTCCTCACAGAAGGTGCTGTCTGTGTCAGGATCTTATTTTGGCAGCCTAGGCTTGCTGAATGAGACGCTCTGTCATATTACACTGGGGGGGTGGAGAAGGGGCTTTTGGGTCACCACTCACTTCATACGGTCACAGGCGAGCAGAACAGCTGAACGTCTGGGCAGCCCCTCCTCATCCCCCATCCGTGTCATGACTGCATCCCGCCCTGAATCACTTCTGTCGCTTAGTTATGTTTGCAAAAATATTGGAAAGACGTTCTTAAAACAGATGTCTGAATGTATGTATAATCTTTTAAACAGATGCCTGACTATATTTATATTTATATAATCAGACATCTGCTTTAAAAGGTCTTCTCAATACCCTTGCAAAAATGTATTATTCATACATTTGTGTACATAGATATATGCACATGTGAGCATGTGTGTATAGGGCTAAAACTTGACTGAGATTAAGTTTGTTGCTAAAGTACGCATTAATTTAACAGAGCCAAGACTCCACCCGGGACTCAAAGCTTCATTAGATGAACTCCAGTTGATTCTGATAACTTGTGCGTATTTAGGTTACCTGACTGTGAAACCTAAAGCTTCTAACCTAAGCTTTGGGCTGTGGAGGAGCTGGCTGGCATGAAGGGTGCTCTGGTATTCTTGAGACAAACAACGCAGGCAGAATATATTGCTACCTAACTGCTTTTTGTTGACAATCACATTAACCATGCCATGCAACAGCTTTCCCAGAATTACAGAAAGGTTAATAACAATCTTTTATGTCACTTGATGCGTTTGACGTTAAGGACGTAAAACGGATGTCTGTTTAAGGCTAACCCAGCAAGCGCGTTGCAAGTCAATGAATCTGAAACTCATGCTCAAATATTTTGCTGAATTGTGTCCTCTCAGACTAATGGACTTAATATTTGTGTTTTCTTACTCTTATTCATATTTTCCCTGCTGCTATCATCTTACTCGTCTGCTGATCATGTTTGTTTCACCATCTGTTGGCCAAAGCTGAAGTTGGAACAGCGCTTCCTTACATCACATATATCTTTAACTCTTTCTTGAAAAAACACTACCAAGCTGCAGCAGCATAGCTGCCACCAATTATATTTCTGTCTGAAAAGTTACAAGCTTGGGGAAAAAAAAGTCAACACAGAATCACTTACAAAATAAAAATAAACCAGGCAAGCATGAAGTCTGAAGTTACAAAGACTATGCTTTTTTCCACTGGCTATTTAGGGTCTTAAATGTCAAGACAGGAGGAAGCCTCTTAAATGTATATTTGGAGACATTGTTAAAGAAATCGGACCCTATCTCTGGGACTTCCTTGAATACTTACAGCTGGGCTCCAACAGGTGCTGTAATCACCCACCAGCAAAAGGGACCATCCCTGCTCTGGCCTGTCTGAAAGTCTTTCACAACGGGAGTCATAGAGGAGCCTAATAAAAGATAGCTGACGCTTACCACCACTGCAGGCGAATTAAAACTCAGTGCCCAAAACAGACTCGCTTTAGAAAACTGATTAAGTAATGGATCCCCTCTAGATTACCTTGAAGTCAAATAGCCTGTGTGTTTATTAATCCCTCAAGCACGCAGAAGGTCACAAACATCAAGGTAAACGTTTCCTTAACGGTGCAGTTGTACTCTGCTTTTCTGTTTGGGGTCCACGACTTCTCTTCTCATGCCAGAAATAGAAAATTCCTATTAGTGAGGACGGACTAAAGTCTGCTTACATTAAGACTTATATGACTGAAATCAATGGACCACTTGTATGGTTAGAGCTCACAGGATTTAGATTAAGATCTGGAGCATTTACATTTGACTGACTATAATACTGTACTAGGCTTCTTTTATATTAATTTGCTATTTCTCTGCCTATGAAGTGTTTCCGCATAAAAGGAAAAAAAAAGAAATTAATTCTCTGATCTTGTCATTACAGCACAGCTTCCCTCCCTCGCAAAAAAAACCCCAGTCTTTTAAGATCAAGAAATGGATTTCTGGTCTTAATAAAACAGATTTTTTTTTTTTCTTCTATCCTTTCACTGTCAACCTTGGGAAAATAAACTGTGTTTTGATCTAAATTCCTGGCTTTCATCAAAGAAACTTTCCCCTTTGTATGCGCAATTGAGGATTTTATGTATAGTCTTTCAAGTGACTGAATCTCAGGGTAAGTCTGGAAAAAGTTGCTCAATATTCTCAAAATTTAGCACGTGAGCTATTGATAACTTGCCCAGCAGAACTGATCTTTATCAACTTGGACATGCCCAAACAACGGTAAAGAAGCCAAAAACTCTCCACCCTTCTCCAACAATTGAGCCAAGAAGTTAAAAGGAAATGATGCTTGTAGAATTCTGGGACCAAAAATGAACTGCTGAGTCAAATAATAGCACCGAGGGTAGGGAATAGCTGCATCAGAGACTTTAAGGTCAGACAGTGCTGTTACGAGTATCTGGCCTGGCCTAACACAGTAAGATATCAGTTGAAATCCATTCCTGAAGTTTCCTGAGCTTGTCGCACACTAAAATGAAATATTTTCAGAGAAACAGCGCACAGTTTTTCTGAAACTGGGTTTTAACAGTGCCACGTTGAGTCAAGATGTGTCAAATACTAGGTGAAGGACAAGCACCCACATTAACTTTCAAAGCCACAATTATTTTTCAGTTACCTGATTGATAAGCACTCTAAGTGCTAGCAATACCCTTTCAGCAAAATGTAATCACTGATATTCAAAGTTGTCGTCACTACAGCCCTATTCAACAGCTGATAAATCAGTGGCAGGTACCATACACACCTCGTACGATCTGCGCAGCTTAAGAGTTTTGCTTATGTCTCAGCCTAAAGGACCTTCAGTTTCTTGAGGGATTTAACCCAGCAAGTTTGTCCTGGGAAATAAGCATTGAAGCAGTTAAAAAAAAAAAAAACATCAGCTAGGCTAGAGATGAGGTCCTCAACACATGGAAGACATGCAGCCAGTCCATATTCCTGGATCTCCAAAAACAATTGCGGGTGATTTTTGTACACACATGGAACTGCTGTTACATGGGAACGGGTGCTAGAGTGAGGAGAGGGTTATGGCTCCTCACCTGGTGAGAAGGTAAGTCAATGGGTTATCTCATTCATTATCTCTGGAGTCAAACCTGGATCTTGCACTTTCTGGGCAGTTTTTTCACCAGTTCTGTACAGCAGAAGGATGAAGATAGTACCTGCAGTGTTCGTTCTGTATTATTATTTTAAGAGTGAAAGCTATTTAGCACTGAAAGAAGTCAGAGGGTCCATTGCTTTGCATCAGCCCTGAAGGACATGTCCAGGGGGCAATAAGAACGAAGATTTAAGTGTTAAATAAGCAGCTGCAGACATCTGTATATTAAAGCGTGCCCTACCCAGGACACTGGCTGTGTCTGACTCTCTTTGGAGGTGTCGGTGTCCCCGACGTACTGCACAGGAAGCCTGAGACAGGACTGCTAATGCTATTCTGCAGTATGGGCACCTAAATTCTTTATGGGCACCTTCACCAAAACCAGTATAAGCTTTGCACAGCCTCCAGCAAACAGGGTCAAGGTTTGTATGCACAAGATGAATGTGTGTTAGAGAGGCTTCACGATGTGCTATTGCACAATTTCTTGTCATGTTCTTGCAGCTATTTGTTTCCATTGGTGGAGCCGGTCGGTGCTAACCAGCCTGCCAAGTAGAAATGAAATATGAAAGCCATATACTAAATCCCAAAGCTATGTAGGCTGTTGCTGATTCAGTGACGCATTTTGATTCACCAAGGAGTCCCAAGTATATATGTGCTTTGAAGCGACCGTAGGGGAGGAGGCAACATTTTCCTCTTTTTTGAGGCTCCCATGGAAAAGCATGGCCAAGAAATGAACCCTTGCATGTACTTGAGATGAAAGTTCACTTCGCAAACTGTTTGGCATCGTGTCTCTTTTGGCATCCTGATAAAGCCACACGAAGAGTATCTTTTTTGGTCACACTTGGGATGAAGGAGAACTTACTCTACATTACTGTTAACAATCGGCATAACTAAAAGTTGTAGTTTTCTAACATTGTTTTCATAAAAAATTTCAGGTTAAGCAAAGACTTGACCTACATTGTACATGTAGTTGTTAACTCTCACACTAGAGATTACAGTCCTTTCTGTAACAGAATAGAATAATGCTTTTATGCATCCCTGTAACAGGACCTGGAGACAGTTCATCCCTTTGCAAAGTTAAAAGCTTAATTTGTTACTAATACATCAAAAATAAATCAAAAATTACTAATACATCAAAAGAGTAATAAACAGAATAGGGGCAAGTACGTATGGAGAAAACCTATGTGTATTGGTGTCTGAACACATCAATATTGCCTGCAGTCTGTTCTCTTATTCTGTGCCAGCTGTCGTGTAGCTGCTCTGAGGACTACGGAAGGAATCAGGTGGTCCCCTGCATCTGCTCATACAGGACATGGAACCAGTGACTGATGGGAGGTCAAACTGAAGTTAGGTTTGTTTGCAGTACATGGGCTGCAGCTCACTACATCATCTGTTTCAGAAGTCATCTCTCATGTATAACACTCAAACATATTGCCATGTAGTACTACTGGCTAGCTTTTCCACAGAAGATTAAAAAGCAAGAGGGGGAGACACAGGAAGTTCATACATAAAACATGCAATCTGGAAGGCCGTATGTGGCCAGCAGGAGTAGGGCAGTGATTGTGCCCCTGTACTCGGCACTGGTGAGGCCACACCTCAAATCCTGTGTTCAGTTTTGGGCCCTTCACTACAAG